CTTTCTTCATGGCCGCGCTCCTGCAGCAACCGGCTTTCTGTGAAATCATAGCTTACAAAACTCTTCACACACTTCACCTTATCTTTTCGGGTTATTTTTAGACCTATGGACTGCTTGAAGGACTACTCTGTCCTTTAAGTCGCCTCAAATTGATGTCCGCCTGCGCTCTCTCGCCTAAACAGTGGCTCATGGCTAACGTGATCTCACACATTCAAACTTTTGCCACACTGTAATTGACCACCTCCAGAGTCCCTCCTTTTCCAAGGCTTAGTCCAAGGGCTCTCATGCCCCTTGGGATTTCGGAGCCGAGCCTAGGCGCCGTCTCTAATAGTCTTTGCTCCAGCCGTTCGTAGCAGGATCATAAGGGAGTTCAAGTATCCCCTAAACGTATTTTAAGTCACATCTGCGGATGCTCTGCCCCTTTTGCTTGACCTCTGCGTCAACTCAGCAACCACCTATCCCTTTGTGCCAGTGACTCTAACGTCTCTGTGGGACTATTAAAATAATTGAATAATAAGGATACGGTTTTTCTGTCGGCGACCTTATTATGGACGGGCCTACGGGTACACTCGGACTTTTCTATGCTATTAGGAGAATTCGGCTCAGTATTGGCCTGAATGGCCATCACCAGATGGCAGTGCAGTACGGGAAGATAGCCGAAAATTTCTTCAACAAACTTTCCATTTTTTCACATTGCGTACAAAATTGTCCAATCTATCATCAACTCGGGTTAATCCGTCTATTGAACGCCAAATATCTCTCCACTTTTTTCTCGCGTCGCTCATAATCCCTTCTTTTTTTTCTTCGTCTCGCATCTCATGACAAACGAGTTCGCTAACTGATCGAGACTGTAATTGCCTGGCTATTGCAATTACGAGGCACAAATGGATCATTGTACTTGCCTCTTTATTCTTTTATTGTTTTTGTTTATATGTCTGCTTCCAAATGAATCCGCTTCGGCCTATCTTCATCGCTATTTTCTTACTGTGATAGCTCGTTTTTGGACGCAGTAGATCAATAAATGACACTGTTGTGACGTTAGTAAATCTAATTTAATGCTATTATTGCTCGAATATAATCTCAGAACGCCTTCAAATATTCAGACTGTGTACCCAGAGCCCGTCGCGCGCAAGAAGCAGAGCGCGGCAGGACATGCACGCGTGCGCTGTGTCGATGGTGAGATCGTGAAAAGGGAACCCTACTTAAAGCAACAGTTCAGGAACGGTTTCGCGGGAAAAAACCACCAATAATGAAGTTGTAGATGAAAACCAGACGATTAATGTATGAAAAACTGGAAAAAAAAACGTCGGGGAGGGTCTTAGACAGGTACTCTCCCTCTGCCGCTCAGCAATGGATAAAGACGCACGTTGGACGAGTTGTCTGAACGTGCCCGCTGTAAACGCGCTCCATTTTTCAATCAATTTTCCCTGTGGTCCCAAAACGAGCACGATTGCCGACGCGTCCAATGACGGCCGGCAAGGGGGCGGGATTGGGGAAATCCCCAAGAACACCCATGTTTGAGGGAATTCCACCCTGTTTCTGAGTT